ATGTTGCGAAATATAACTCGTATGAAATGCTGAGATATTTGCAAAACTCCGGACCACAGGTGTATGCAGTGGGAAACGAACACGCGTTGTTGTCCTTACCGACAGGCAAAACGAAGGACCCGGATGGTGTGGTGGTGAAGTGCGCTGCTCCCCGGTAAGGACAACAGCGCGTGTTCGTTCCCCACTGCATAAACCTGTGATCCGGAGTTTTGCAAATATCTCAGCATTTCATACGAATGTTAGCTACTTTATTAACCTTGTGTTAGTATAGTATTCCAAGAAGGTACTGACCGATTAATGATATCGAGGTTAAATGACAATCGATTTGAAAAAATATTGTCTTACGAAAGTATTGGGAACACAGTCGTGTTTTGCTAAACGAAATCTGGTTTCTTCAATCATTTCACCCTTTGCGATACGAGCCTTGGCCAGCAAAGCAAAATTAGGCGATTTCTGGGCTCTAGACAATCAGGATTTGATCGAGTTAATATGAGAAATCTTGTACATTGTTTGCTAAGATCTGCAAATTCTGCTACTGTTTATTACCTCTACCACGTGACCTGCCGTCACTGTGCGGATCGCAGCACATCCTTTACTGGAGCAGTTTCCTGGCATCGACCATCCGCGACAGTCTTCGACTTTTTTGCGTGTGGGTTCGGCTGCTACTTTAGGAATTTTCATCTTGGAACGGACGTTGTTGCATGAGATAGGCGTGCAAGAGTTTTCTAACCTAGATTGAAAACAATGCGCAGATCGCAGAAAAATCTGGTACAAGTTTTCCTACTGAATGCCCGATGTAGTGCTGAAGCAACCCCTGTGGTGATTGAGCTGTTCATGTGAAGAGCATGATCAATACCATTGCGCTATCCGGCCTCTGTAACTTTATTGGGCTTTATTTCATTCAACAAAGTTTGGATGTTGTTTAAAGCTGAAAACCCGAGCTGTTTTCCGACACGTTTGACTTGAAATCAATCCATTTTGTATATTATGTGTTATTAATGTTCATTCCGGTGAGTAGCACACTGGCTCGGCTCTTCACACGTTACCTGTCTGAAAGCAAGACCTCTACTCAGTGGAAGACCAGCAAAACCGTGCTAGTGTTCAAGAAGGATGACCTACACGATATCGTGAACTATCGCCCAATCTGCTTGCTGTCTGTCGTCTACAAACTTTTCATTCGAGTCATCCTAAACAGGACTGACAGAACACTGGACGAAGGACAGCCATGTGAGCAAGCAGGATTTCGAAAAGGAATTAGTACGATGGACCACATCCACACGATAACAAGAGTCATTGAAGTATCGCGAGAGTACAAAAGACCGCTCCGTCTCACTTTCACCGATTTACAGAAGGCTTTTGATTCAACTGAGATAGAAGCAGTCATGAAAGCCCTTGATAGTCAAGCAGTCCCTACTCAGTACGTAAAGATTATTCGTTAGCTTTACAAAAATTTCACAACTAAGATTCCACCACTCTACAACGTTATTAACATCGACGTCAAAAGAGGGGTTAGCCAAGTCGATACCATTTCGTCATAATTATTTACCGCTACTCTCCAGAACTTCGTGCGAACACTGGAATGGGATAATATGGGAATGGAAATCGACGGTCGGCAGTTACACCATCTTCGCTTTGCTAATGACATCGTCCTTATAGCATCAAACATTAGCCAAGCGGAACGTATGCTTGTCTACTTTGATAAAGCCTGTGAAAAGATTGGTCTTCGACTAAATCTCACAAAAAAGATGTTCATGAAGAACAGATTGGTTTCGTATGCCGCATTCTCGCTCAACGGAACAAATATCTCTGAATGCTCCAGTTATGTCTGTTTAAGTCGAGAAATCAATATGATGAACGGCATAGCTCCAGAACTGAGCACAAGGAAAAAAAGCGGCTTGAGGAGCTTTCAAGAGCATCGAGGATATAGTGAAGAGAACAAGGAACACCAGACTTCGTGCCCACCTTTTCGATTCAGCGGCACTTCTTGCCCCAACGAATGCGTCAGAAACCTAGTCGCTGCGCAAGCAGAATGAAAGATCACTCAGTGTTATCGAACGCGAAGTCGAAAGGACGATGCTAGGAGTATCCCGTTCCACACAGGTAAATGATGGGAACCGAAGCTCCGATCTGCGTCAACGATCAAAAACCAAAGATGCCGTTTTGCACGCCAAGCAGTCGAAGGTAAGGTGTGCCGGACACGTAATGAGTATGAATGACAACCGTTGAACAAGAGCTATTAGTGACTGGATTCCTCATGACGTCAAACGAACTGCAGGAAGACTAACGACTTCATGGTCGGAGTTTTTCATGGAGAGCCTAGAAGAAAACTATGATGCTCGACGAGTGTCTAGAGCAAGTAGAACCCATTGGGCTACTCTTGCACGCGACAGGGCAACATGGAAGATTTACTGGCGCCTTTTCGAGTCACTTGACAATCAACGGTGCTACAGGTGATACAGGTGATGATGTTTATTCGTTAACATTCATATTACACAAGTGTTAGCCATCAGCCATCATTTCTCAGTGGACTGGAAATCTGAGACTTTTATTTAAATGGTATGCTTGTGAATAACTTCGACTGTAACGTTGTTCAAAAAAGTGGAAACAAAAGATGAATCAGAGTACTCTTTGGTTCACATTAAGTGGTAGTAGTACCGTACGCCGACGGTCAGGTGTTTAGGTGTTGTGTACGGTAGTGTCATGAGTCGCAACTATTTCAGCGTCGTCACTGACGTGTCTTTAAGACTCTTCTACGATTTCCTGTGAGGCTGCTAATCAATGCCATTGCTTAATCCTTTACTGATTCCTAGGAAAGAAGGCGACATCGTAGATGTAGCAACTTTTCATCTCACCAACAATGATTCTAAGACCAGTTTTTTCTGAGAGTACTTCGAAAACATCCTCGGCTTTTTTTCCATTCTTGATTTCAGGAGGAGTTTTTACACTACTGAGAAAATATAACGTAAGCTGAAATGTAGGATCTGTTGAAAGTTGTGTAATTATCTGATGTTCCCAGACAAATTTATTTTCCAGAGTTCTGAGGAAAGTGGTGAAATGTTGGCAACCGAAGAGAAGCAGTTTAATGACATAGTGGTTGCAGACATTGAAGAGAGCTACTATTCGCTCTCTTTGAAAACCTATGCAATGCTGTATTTTAAGAGTACGAGGTAAGGACGTAAAATATTTGAGTACGGAAAATTTGCGAACCTTTAATGTTCTGCATTTAAGTGAACTGATTTTTATTTGATATCAAAACTATTATTACTGATTGTTCTAAAGGCGCCTGTCGTATCGTTCTACGGCTCTATTTTGTAAAGCGTAACTGATGAATAAGGCAAAAAGATGCCTAAAAGGGAACAAATGTTAGCACTTGGTAGTGACCTTTTCTACCGCCTACTGTTTTTTATGCAGGGTATGATATGAAATATACTCACAGTGGTGCTAAGATTTTTTTTTTCTTAGGTCCGGAGTTTTGCAAATATCTCAGCGTCATTGTAGTTATTTCATGCCCTGCCATGAAAAAGAGTACACGATAAATAGAAAGTAACTACATTGTGATTTATGTTGCACCTTCGGCTCAACTGGGTTCAATGGCAATTTGTGCTCCCCAGATCGATCCCGTTGACGAGTGATTGCTAATAGCATCTATAGGTTAAAACATGGCTGAGATAAAGGCGAAGCGAAGGACTTCTATGATGTGGTGGTGAACGTGCTAGCCCACGGAAAGGATAGTAGCGAGTTTGCTCTCCACAGCATACACCTGAGATCCGGAGTTTTGCAGGCATCTCATATATCTGTCTCAAACATCTCAGCATCATCGTGGGCATTAACACCTCTTTAGTTACCATGAGCTTAGATTTATTGTAATACTTACTTTCTTGGATACTTTTACGGATATTTGGACAGCTCGTCCTCACCAGTTGTGCGGGACCCAGCACAATGTCCACTGTTAGGAGCATTGACGGTTTTGCTACTATTTCCTTGGAGTCCCGAGGTCAGCCTAGCCAAATTCCGCCCGAGGTCGCACCACAGGCAGTGGCAGCCCTTATGGATCAGAGGGAGATTTGCCACCATGGGATTAGTTTGAGACCAGGACGGTGGTCGATCCTGCTATTAGGTTACTCTTAGCTAATCTTCCCTGTGGAAAAGCCAGACTGCTTCTCAGTTTGGGACACCTTGCCAGGGAATGATTCCCCCAGCTGTAGATGGCAGTCCGACACCCAGGTACACCTCCTAGCCACTATGAGGTGGTGAACCGTTGGGAGGAGACTATGAAAAAATATATCATAGTAATATCATTAACCTTATGAATATTTTGTGCTGAAGTAATCAATATCCACGAATGACTGTCTAGACTCTTGTCGATTTTTATTTCACCGGTATATCGGGCAAAATTTTTTTCGTTGGAGTCCCGAAGTAATCCTAACGCTTCCAGTCCTTGTAAATCAGATAGAGGTTTGCTGCCTTACAACAAAGCTTCGTCATCATCTTTGTTCGGGGTTCCCGATATAATTATCGATCTTTTCATGAAGCCGGCTTACCATGATTGGAACGAATCTATTGCTGTGGATCGTACTGAAACACTCAACAACACGTCCCACACGCAATAAGATGGTTTACCATTAGTACTTATCGATTTTTGACAACAATCATACCATTGTAGTACTTATACTATCGTTTTTCTTAAAACCGTCTAGATAATTTCATTCATCGGGATGAAAATAATCTAGCCGCCGTGCAATCCTTAAAGCAGAACTGTCGATTTTCTTCGTGGTCGTAAGTGAAAAGGGAGCAGATCTTAAGAATTGCGTGACTATGGGCATGCAGAGGTCCCATAACAAGCGTCTCATAACTGTAATGAGTCCGAACGGAAGCTGAATCTGTTACACAAGATTACGGTGCTTGTTTTTTCTTTCATATAAAGGAAATATTAGAAATAAAACTTTGGTGCCATGGTCACGCATAAACTATACTTCCAAATACAGGAGTTTAGATATCGGATGGCAAAGTGTCTGGTAAAGGCCGACTCTGATAATGTCTTACTGCTTCGAAATTTTGAACGTCTTTGCGATGAAACAAGTATGGTTCGTTTCGGCAACCTTTTTTTTGCACATGAGCATTTATTCCATTTCATTACGACGTACAATGAAATCTTGCTGGAGTGTCATGTATGTGAAAATTATAACAGAAATGTAATGACTGCAGGTCCCAATAATTGCCTTTCTTTGAGTGCGAGCAAGGCTTCACTCCTTGTCACTCTGTTACTACCGGCACTTCTGTGATTTTGGCAATTACCCTACTTTTGACTCGGTTTTAGATTGAAAGTTCCGGCTCTTCTACTCTCTTTTCCTGCTGGGATAAAAATTATAAGTATACGCGTATTGCGTTTCAGCGCACGTAACACCCTCATTAATAGAGATATGGTATCAGATTAATTAGTGATAGGCCAGAGTGAATGTGAAGGCTCACGATAGTGAAAATTTGTTTTTCTCTAACACTGCTTTACCCACGACGGAGAACACTATTGCCACTGTATTCGTTGTCTGAAAAATTTTCTGTGAAGACCCTCTAAATTATACATGATCTTTGTTGCAGTGGACGATGCGAGTTATCTTGCTGAAGTGAAAGATATAATTTTCTTAAATTAAAGGGTTTTCAAATATGCTTGTCAACTAACACAAGGCAAGGGATTGCTCCTCGGTACTGAAATGCGAATTGTAGAGGTGCGGTTTTGTGCCTCTCGCAGGGATATTCAGATTGAGAAAGTGTTACGATATTTCTGCCATTTTAGAGTCCTATGTGCTACCTTTGGTTACATTATGGCCATAGGACATGGAAATGAAGAGCGTCATATCAAAAGTTAAGGCTTTTTCCGCCAATATCGCCAACTATAGCAGCTCGTGTGGCGCAGTGGTCGGAGGTAGCAATACATACATGGGATCGACCCCCGTGCCGGTGGCTCACCAAGTCTTCCATTTTTCCGTGGTCGGCAAATTGGTGCCAGACTTGTCTGGGAGGATAGCAGCACTGGCTCGATACATCGGCCAGTCACCGAAAGCCATAGTAAAGATCAGACATGCATCCAATCACCGCCAACGATGCTTAATGAAGGCGAATGCATGGCGCACCCCACAAGGGTTGATCAACTCCGAGAGCTTTATCCTTCATTCTTTGAGTACAAGATTCAGATTTTCAAGTTAAGATTGAACGTGCTCTGCTTCACTTTTATTGCCAATGCCTTCCGAAATTATTTATGCTACATCTTTTGTAAAGCTTAGAAGGTGAGATGCTATGGATATGTCGATATGACTTTATTGCGCAGATGAAGTGATTCTTTTCATTTGGACCTCGTATCGTCGGCAAGTGTGATGTGTCGCGGCGAGTTCAACGGGAGCGAACCAAGTGGATGGTGCCTGAATCCATCTACCCAGACGACCGTTTTCCACAGTACTGCTCGACAGGAACTTATGTTTTGTGTGGTTAGTTGTTGTTTATGTGGTTAACTGTTAGTAGTTACCTATGTGTATGGTTCCTTACTTATTTATAATTGACTGCTTTGAAAACTACTTATTCGAAAAGTCGTTACGTTTGTACATAACTTATCTTGTGTAGGTTACGACATACCAATGAGACTAATGCATGCATCCGAAGAGAGTTGGTTTCCGCATTCCTCTAATTATCGGTTAGTCAGTGAGTTCGTTCATTTCCATTTTGGGGAAGAACCACGAAAAGATGTTTTTCGAATTTAACGATAAAATATTAAGAATTGACAGTTATATGGATTGTAAAAATATATGATTCATACAAATAATCATTATAATGTGTGGTTCCTTCCAACGGTATATCGCCTAAGCCTGGCTGTAAGGTGTTCTTGGGTATCGGGTTGCGATCTGTAGCGGGAGGGTTCATCCACCCAGCAGGGGCTACCAAAAGAAGGAGTCCGACGTTTCCACCAGGAAGCCCATCTAAGAGTAAATCAATGCCGGGATCCACAACCGTCCTAGTATTAAACTAGTGGCATGGTGGCCAATCTTTTCCTTATCCACAAGGGCAGCGACTGCCTGTGGTTGTGACGACCTGGGGTAGACTTTGGTTACGCTGACCTCGGAACTCCAAGAAACGACATTGCCTAGACCAGCAAAACTCTGAAAATGTGGAGATATGCTTGGACCCGCACAACCAGTGAGGGCGGAGCATCCAAGTTTCTAAGTAATGTATGATTAATTATACAGAATATATGATCCACCAGTGTGCACATGTAGCTTTAACTTATAATTAACTTATAAACTAGTGTAGAAGTAATAGTTCTAGTTTTATGAGTAACCGTTTAAGTTATTTTTTAGCAAAGTATTTCAGGATGCTTCCAGAAGACGTACTATTCACGGGAATTTTTGCTGAAAAAGCGGGTATTCGACGAACACATATTGGTGGCATGTCCTTCATTGACGCTCCTGAATACTTTTGTCGCGATGTAAAACGTACCTACAGTATTCATATGAACCGTGTTCAAGATCCAAAGAACTACTTCAAGCGTCTCATTTCTATGGAAGGGCACTTTTGCTGACCATTGATCTCTTGCTGTTAACTTACGCGATTAAATCCACAAGGATTCTGTTTCACGAGAACCATAAATACGGACAACTATATCGAAAGTCATGCAATGCAGTCAGGAAGTAATTTGTAGGAATTATTTTTAATAAATGGTTCATCCATCAACTGATGTAAACCTGAATCGGGAACAGTCAAAGGGTTGTGCTGTGAAACTCTACTGCCTTCGTGGTGACCATATCTGTTGCTCGATCATTATGTTAAAAAATTGAAGAAATTTGTAATAAAGGCCATCAAATGACATAAGATAGAAGTAAATACGACCATGGACCTTAGGATATTGTGTGTTTTCGAACGAACATCAGGGCAATACTTTCAACTGGTGATGTTTTCGACCATTTAAATTAGTAACTCTCCTAAAGTCATTTCATTATCCTTCCATTCTCATTAACTTACCCGAGGTTGTTGCCAAATCTCTATTGTGGTTAACATTTGGGCGCTTTCGTTTTCTTCAGAGCTGCAATAATTCAAATGTAATGTCCACAGCCAGTCACTCTTTGCGATGTGGCTCCTCGTTGCTATTTCAATTATTTTACTTCTTCATATATTATGCGTAGTGAAAGCAATTCCCACCGTTGCCGGATTCGCTACTACTGACGTAAAAGGATTTTAGTCCTAGAACGACAAAACTTTTTTCAGTCCACAAAGTTTACCACTACCATATGTGGTAGACATGAGGACGCCTGGTAAGGTTACTTCGAGATAAGAGAAGAAAGAAGAAGAGCTCAAAAATCAAACACACTGAGTGCTCTGATATACGTCGTCGGGCAAAACCGGTGCGGGACGATCAAGTCTCTGCTTGCGTAGAATGTCGCAGAAACTGGATTAGAACAACATGCCTCCGAGCAACTATAAAGCTCGCTTTTTTCTGTATCTACAACACAAGAAAAACCTCCTGAAACGCCGATTTTCAAGCTCTTATTGAGGCAGCGTCTCGTCTAAAGTTTCACATCTTTCCTTCAAAAGAAGAAACAGCAAGGGAAATATTCCAATTAAATCAAAGCCATTCGCACAAATTTTCTGTCAATCGTCGTATTTCGGTTCTGGCGACGGCAAGATATTGTTTAGTGACACAACTGGCATGCAGTTAGCGATCACATCCGTAAAACCATGCGTTCATCCTTCATACCTTTGGAGTGCTACCTTTCCATGTAGATCCAGTCATAACCTGTTAACATAATCAAAAAACCACAAAAGTACCATTGTCATTGCCTATGAACAAAAGCACCTGGTGTTGTATGAGAATAACTTTTTAACGGAATCATTACCAGATTGTTGGGTAATCAAAGGAGATTTCACTGTAGAAAAGCTGTACCTCAAAAGACCCCAGGGCTTTACCAAATTGCAACTGGACGGAGTTTCTTGGTTGAGGAATCCGGATTGCATTTCTACCAACTCCGCATGGCTCTTGGTGATAGCAAAATCAGCAATTCCGATTTCAACAGATTTCACGCTGCTGGTGACAATGTCAACATCGAAAGATAATTGCAGGACAATGTTTGAACTTTGATTTGCCTCCTATTCCTTTTTTACCCAGGACATGATGTGAAATGAAATGACAAGGACGTTGAGAGAGGAACAAAACGCGGCACTTCAGATGCGCATCGAACCCGCGATTTCTCCTATCAGGTCTACACGATGTCCACCACCTGTCCCGTAGGCTTTACTTTGCATCTCTCTCAGCCATATTTTTAATTGTGTTCAGTGCTTTTTTGTGCTTCCAATATCACTGCCTTTGACGGATGATTGCTGATAGGATCAAGAGAGTAAAAACATGGCGAGAGAACGGCACCTCGAAGCCCACCCGAGTTTTCGATTCTGCTCATAATCATCGTTGCTGTGATTCCAGTACGCATAGTATCCTGCCATGAAAGGAACGGAATATGGAATATATAAAAGCTACGACATGATTTGTCTATAAATTGGCCTCGTTTTGTTGTTGCTGTTGCGTTGACGTTGTTATGCGCATTTAATTACTTAAGCTTGAGTTCTAATGTGAACATGGTCATTCCCTGGGTGATTAGCCAAATAAACACGATTAAAAATAACCACGATGTGAAATTTTTTATTTGTTGCCTATTGTAATTTTTCACGGCAGAGTATTATGTGAAATACAACAGTAATGATGCTGAGATATTTCCAAAACTTCACTTCGCAGGTTTCTGCAATGGGGAACGAGTTTTACAAATATCTCAGCTACATTGTGGTTGCATTAACCGCGATTTTCTGTCCTTACTACGCACACGAGAGACCGATGATATTTCACGATGAAGAACAGACTGGTTAGATCGAGTCATGGATAAACCTCACTCTGGTACAAAGAAAACTATGAGAAACTCCATATATGATTGGTGAAAGAACCGTGTAATCTTCGAAAAAAAGGTTAAGTCACGGAAAGAATCAGGTTTGAATAAAGCACAAAACAAAGATCTGACCCTTGTTGGGAAACGCCCTTATGGGATATTGAAAAGAACGGAAGAATTAGGGTAAGCATTCCATAGAGTTGTTTAAAGTCATCAATATAAAAGTAACTTGAATGAACAACGTGATCCAATGCGTAGAAAGATTGCTCCACTATTCATTCACAATAACTATCGCTTCGGTGGTTTCGCCTTTTTAAAACTCTTAGAAGGTAAAATTGATGCGCGATCTGCTCAAACAGCCACTTCCATACCTTAGCAAACAAAACTTATTACATAACTTCAGTGATGCTGAGATATTTGCAAAACTCCGGACCGCAGGTGTCTGCGCTATTGTCCTTTCCAGGAAGTAACGCGTTCACCACCTCACCATGCGGGTCCTTCGTTTCGCCTGTCTCTCAGCTAGTTCTATCGATCAGCGCCATCAGCAATCACCCGTCAACGGGATTGATCTGGGGAGCCCACATCGGCATTGAACCAAGTTAAGTTGAGGTTGTATTTGAAGTAATAATATTAACTCTCTACCATAAAAATTGTAGTAGGCAGCAAGTAAGAAGTTAATACTGTGATTACTGTTGAGTTAATACCACACTAACGCGTTACTCCCAGGAAAGGGCAATAGCGCCAATAGCGCGTTCGTTTCCCACCATGCTCACCTGCGGCCCAGAGTTTTGCAAATATCTCGGCAACGTTGTGGTTGTATTTTGCTTAGTGCCCTGCCGTGAAAATTGTAGTAGGCAGAAAATAAATGGTAAAACATTTTCCAAAACACTTAGAAAATTCTACTTGCTACTGCTTTGGATTTCTATACTAGGATAGCGTTTTCCACCTCGAAATTTTCTCAAAATATTCTCGTGTCGCTATCTCTCCGTGTCCGCCTAGAGGAATATTTGGTTGCACTTTATATTTACCGACTACGAGTTTTTTTATGATGATGCACAGTGGTCTAGACGTTCCGTCAACGTATTCCTCTCATACGCTTTACAAGATGTTACGTACACCGCTCCCGAGCTCATGCGATCACCGTCTCTACCGTTGGGAAATTTATGCAATTTTGCGAGATGCATAGACGGTCATATGCGCGGCTAGGAACTATCTGGCGTCTGAAAGTGTTTGTTCTATTTTAATGACCGTTACCTAAATCTCTAGAGCGGCCCTCTTTAAGCAATATATTGTGCTGCACTTATTTCGTTGCAAATTAAAGGCAGGACACCTTATATTCACTTGAGGCTTCGCCTTCTTTAGAGCCGATCGACTCAGGCAGTAGACCAGCATTCGTACTGTATAACAAGACACCGTGGAGTGAGCTTCTTTATTCGATCGGTGCTCCTCTACAGGCGATTCGACCTGATGCAACAAGGAAAGACCATATCGTGGGATCGGCTAATTGTGGATCATCGACTCAGATCAACAGGACATTGGATAAGCAGAAGGCACTGAAACCTTAGCCAAATAAGCGTTTTATATCATTACCGTATTAGCTCATTCATGTAAAAAGTTGGCTATTATTGCTAACGTTCGATGAAAGTCGGTTTTTGGGAAAAAAAACCTTTAAAATGGCATACATCTAGAATGTTCACTTGACACTTGATACTTGAATGACCCGTCCTCACTGATTGTGCGGGCCGCAATATCACCTCCACTTTCCGGTGATTTTCTTGCTAGCTAAGCCATTTTGGATCTTTGGAATCATGATGGCAGCTTCGCCAAAGTTTGCCCCAGTTCTTCCATCACTGACAATTCCGCCCTTGTGGATCAGAGAGAGATTTGCCACCATTCAACTTTGATACCAGGGCGGTGGTTGGTCTTGGTATTGGTTAACTCTTAACTAAGCTTCCTGATGGAGAAGCTGGACTTCTTCTCAGGTTGGCAGACCCTGCCGGGATGACGAATCCCACCGCTGTACATCGCAGTCCGACACCCAGAAACACTTCCCAGCCACGATGAGGCGGTAAACCGTTGGGAGGATACATCGAGAATGGGTGCAAAAGTGGATATCTAGTGCGGAATTGTCTTAAAAATTTTTGAAGCAGATATTATTTTTGCATTAGTTTCATGAAATCTTTAGGGCTTATATCGCCATTCTTTTTTACTTACTTAACAGTTTCGATTATTCGTTGATGTTCGACAACAATAGAAACCATGCAAGAACGCTGCACAACAATGTGGAAAAATTTCGAAGAACGCCAAGAAACGAAGGATGAGATCAGCACTTTCAAATTTTTCTTCGAACGACATTTCAGTTTTGTTTAAACAAGACTCTGTTCCTTTCCGCCCCACAAACACTACGCCATTGGCCGTTCATTTGATTACAGATGCTATGGCTACGAGCAAAAAAAAAAACCACTCGGTTCAAAACACTTCTCGAAAGCCATTTTGAGGTTCTTCATTTTGAGGAAGTAATTTCTGCGAAGGAAATTGTGCACAGTGGTAAGGTTAAAGTAAAATAAAATGAGGCGAAGACCATCCCTAAAATGTCGAACTATTTCATAGTCCTGTATTGTCGAAGTTGTGTCGCACTGAACGTTAAAAACAA